AGAGCAGATTAAATGTCTGGCAGATTCAACAGACTTGCTCTGTTGCTCCAGGGACAAACAAATGTTAGGAATGAGAGGGATGGATATTTTGACTAAATGCTGGAAGAAATTTCCTATCAGCGAGTTGTTAGCAGGATAGACTTTGTTAGAGGTAAACAGAAGTCGGAGACTTATTAGGAAAACTGCATGGATTCAACGTTTTTAAAAGGCAAAGTTGCTTTAGCTGATATTACCTTGTCTGTCCCCCAAATGTGTACTGAAATGTAATCTCATGTTTTAGATAAATGTTTAAGAGATTTTTAACTCAGATATTAACATGTCTTGACAAATTTACCCAGTGACTAACACAAGGTCTTTTCTTTTTCTTTTTTCCTTAAAAAAAAAACAGGAATTAGTTCACTTAACGACCTTCCTCCTCTCCCCCAACACACAAATCAAAGGAGTTTTCAGAGTGCTTTTGAAGGAAAGGAGATAGAAATTTTTGAGGAGAATCAACTGGCTTATAAATCAGTCATACAATGCAGGCCAAGTACAATATTGTGTCAGTGATATAGTTCGCATCCAGTAAATGGATTTGTGAGCCCATAAATTAAGCTGAAGCTGAAAAAAAAATAGGCTGTAATTCTGCAAACCTGATTGCAATTAGCAGACCAAATGAAGTTAGGCTAAATAATTGCAGCTAGATCACTTGGGATATTAAAGATCTTGGGAACGGGCAGGAAAAGGAAGGTTTAAAATGGGAGGAATGAAAAGAGAAGGGCCTTTGCAAAGACATGCTCCAGGCTTGGGTACCATACCTGCAGCACATGTAGAGATCCTGAGTTCTTCCAAGTCTTAATAAACTTTCTTTAATCAAGATTCTATATACATTTTTAAAAAATTAAACTTGAAGCTGTACTGGGCCTTGAAAAGAGTTGATTGAATTCCATGCAAAAACTGGTTGAATATTAGGTTGAGACCCACCATGCATGTAAATGAATGAGGTGAAATCTGTGATTTGTATGGAGAGGACCTCTAGGAAGATAGGATATGGTTATAAATATATTTTCCAGGATCCTGCTGGAATGAATTGAAGTTGAAGTATGGGTACAGTGTAGTGGAACAACAGTAAAGAAAAATGAGAGAGAGCTAACTGAAGTTGTAAAAAATTATGTTAAAAAGTAACTCAAGACAGTGTGCTACCAAGAAACCTTCTTTGTATTTTTCTTAATGTATTTATTAAACTTAATAGCTAATCACTCATGACATGGATGAAAGACATTTCAAGAAAGCTTGATTTCCTTCCTTTATCTAAAACAGCATTTTAAAAGGGATGGACTGTGGCTTTTAAATCAGATAATCCTAACTCAGTATCTGAGGAATTTCCTACAAAAACAATCAATGGAGGTATGCAGGCACCTATCCATGGAGGTATTCAGTCCTGATAATTCTTTTCAACTCTTAGAGCTGGCTTTGTTTAAAAAGTATCCACACTAAATAGACAGGGAGTCAAGGCAATCTGGGCTTCCTTTAACAATAAAGTAATTTTCTTCATTCCTGTCTTGTGATCTTTGGATGTTCACATATTGCAACATTCCAGTCAAAGTCTCTTTAGAGCTAAGCTCAACTGGTGACATCACTGACACAACCATGCGGTAATAGCCTGGAGGTAGTTTGCCACTGTCTTCGCCCAGGAGGTCTTTGACTTCCCAATTTGGCCCATAGCCCTGGTAGTCTCCCATCTACGTACTAGCCAGGCCCCACCACTTAACTTGTAAGCTCAGGCAAGGGCAACCACATGTTGTCACCAGCTGAGGTGCGATAAGTATTGTACATGTTTGGTAACTTAATATTATAGAAAGAGCTCCATCAAGACGTCTGTGTTACTAAACACACTCAATGCTGAAACCCTAAATATGCCTATCTAAACAAGTGTTTCAATGCAAGCACGCTAGAAGCAATTCTTATTTTTATGTGGAGTTTTCATTGTTGCTCTACATATACCTCTTATTTCTTTTCAGGATAAATGTTACATAGGACACAGAAAAGAGGAATAGAAACTAAATGCATGATATATGAAATAGAGAAGAAAACACAGCTAAAACTAGCATCTACCAACACTATTCATTATATCTCCATGCCTTTTGATCCTTGTAAATCATCCTGGCTTCCACCACATCCATTCATTATTTCATACACTTTCTTTCTTGAAACTTCTCATCCCTCTCTTGCAGCTCTTCATCAACTCTTTCAATCTCATCAACTCTTTCAGCTGTGACTTTTTCAATCTTCCTCTCCTATATACCATCAATCCCCCACAATATACTTCTCTTGTATTGGCCAATCATTTTTTATTCAATCCCCATTCATTCTTGACCCTTTCCCTTTTTGTTTTACCACACACATTTAAGTAATCCATTCCGGCTGCCTTCAACTTATTTTTAAGTTTCTTCAGACATATACAACTCTTACTCCCATGTAACAAAATGAGCAGGATCATGCATTTATATATCACTTCTGTTTCTTTTGACAAATATGTACTCTTCACTACAAACCAAATAGTATCCACTAGCCTTCTAGCATTTGCATCTTTTCTCTGTCCATTTTCCCATATGTAGAAAACATTCTACTAAAGTACACAAATGCCTTAGTTTTTTGCCATTTATGTATAACTTATAATAATTTACTCCATTCTCCCCATCAAACACAATTTCTCTGTTCTTTAATAAATTAATATTCAAAACCATACTCATCACTGAATTGTACAATCTAACGTTTGCTGCACTTCATTCAAGTTCTCAGCCAACAACATGGTGTACTCTATATACCAACTACATAGATATTGATGTCCCCCCCAAGTCCTGCTGTGCTGCCTCATTGTAGTGGGGTGTGTGTGTGTGTTCCTGGAAAGGATGAGTGAACAACAATGGGAGTGTATGCCAAGAGTATATATTCCCAGCAGGGTCAACTGAGGTGTGAAGGTCATCCCAACTGCCCAGCTACAGCAAGCAGGCACCTATATTGAGCAGCAGTGACATAGGCAGATACTGGAGGTAGAAGACCACTTTAGTGACAGTGGCAAAGGCACCAATTCATACTGCATGGGAGAAGGCAATGCTAAACCACTCCTATATTTTTACCAAGAAAACCACATGGATAGAAAATATAAAATTATATATGGTGGATGATGGGCCCTTCAGGTCAGATGGCACTCAACATGCTACTGAGGAATTGCTGAGGATCTTTTGGAGTACTAATGGTGTTTATGACGTGGCTAGATTAAAGCCTTGGGATGCCTAATTGTTGATGTTGCCACGCGGGAAAGAAAATCTGAAGCTGCAAAGACAGAATTACAGCAGGAATGTGGAATATAAGCTCAGCACAAGGAAAATGGGGAATAAGCTCAACAACATGGGAAAGCTCAACACAGTGAAAGATGAAATGAAACAACTACAAATTGACATCTTAAGCATTAGTGAATTGAGATGAACTGGGACTGGACGCGTTCAGTCAGAAGATCCCACTGTTTCTTGCTTTTGTAGTTAGGAAGGGTATAGCAAGATCAGTACTTGGCTACAATACAGTCAATGACTGAATAATATCAATTAGACTTTGTGGACAACCTTTGAATATGATGATCACTCAAGTTTATGCTTCAATCACTGATCTACAAGAGGAAGTTGCTGAATTTTATGATCACGTTCAATTCAAAATTGACAGAACATGCAAGCACAATGTGCTGCTTGTGATTGGTGACTGGAACACCAAAGCTGGAAACATGAATGAGGAAAATGTAGTCGGACTGTATGGCTTAAGGATACTGAAATGAAGCAGGAGACCAACTTATCAATTTCTGCCACTCCAATGATTTCTTCATAGCTAACACTGCCTTCAAACAACCAAAATGATGCTTCTATACATGGACATCACCAGATGAACTTAAATATGAAAAAGACCAAACTAATGACAACAGGTAAAACAACCATCCTTAGAACTGAAGAGGCTGACCAGCAGCAAGGTGGATGGACTCAGTTACAGCGGTGATGGGTGCACCCCTGGAAGACCTGAAAGACCAGGCTAGGGACAGATAGTCATGGAGAGAGTCTATCTATGTAGTCGCTAAGAGTCGACATCAACTTGGCAGCAGATAATCAATCAATCAAAACCATACCAGGTAGCATCTAATGTCTCTACAAGCAGTCTTCATGCATTTATGCATAAATACATTAAACAACCAAGGGGAAATCATATATCCTTGCTCAATGTGGAACCCTCTGCTAAGTATTGTATTTATTCTCACAATAGTTTACAATACTTTACTTCTATCATACACTGCTATTATCACATTCAGAAATCAAACTTCAAGTCCATATTCACACAAAACCTTCTATAACTCAAGCCTATACGCACATGCTTTACCTAAATCAACAAAAAATACAAAAAAAAGTAAGATGCTGAATTTTTTCACTTTTTTTTCACTTTTTTTTCCTTTTTTCCCCTTTTTTCCTTTTCTTTTTATTTCTAAGAAAGCCTCGGGGAGAAAAAAGCAATTGTTCGTTAGAAATCCTTTGAATTAGGATTCACCTTAATGTCACCTTGTAACGTCTGAAAGGAGAGGCATAACAACTCAAGAACTGCAACTTCAGCTTTATGTTTGAAGAAAAATTTCATTTTCTAAAACTAACGGTTTTACAAAAAATAATTATAATTCAACCCTAACATCTCATCACTGGTAAGATGTAAAGAGCACCAAAAAGGAAAAAATGTGTTGAGGCCAGTACAAGACTTTCACATTCCTGAAACAGCACCATCATGTGATGGGATTACACTATGATTATACAATGTTGGTAATTACGATAAAGTTTTGTTTACCCTCAGTATTTCTCAGAATCTGAAAAGAAGGTCCTAGACAGTTAGCAGAGTACAGCCTTGCTTTGTATATGTAATCTCCAGCCATATGAGAGTGGATAAAAGTAAAGTATGTTTATCTGCTACTGTATCAAAAGAGGCCAAGCGTGTGACACCATCTGAATATTTTTAATTTTTTTTTCCTTCTCATATGTCTTGTACAAATTAACTGTTGGTTTATCTTTATCAGCAAAATCATTCATTGTACTAGATCCTGTGGGTATCGTTTTTCAAGAGGTCCCATGCACTTTATTCCATGTTTCTTTTCCAGTTTATCTGCATGATTGAAGACCACTTTTGGGGGAATCTTCCCCCTCATTTGCATTATTGTGTCTTTGGGGGCTTATAGTGAGTTCTGCAGCGTTCATTAAATATCTAAAATGGCAAAACAGAAAGTTGATTGATACAAGTGCGAGTGGATCCACCCATCTAAAAACTTAATCAGCTATCATGCTGCAAAACATTAATTAGAGCCAAATGTATATGCTTAGAAAAACAAAACAAGTGATACCTAGTTGTCCAGGTTTGTAGCTTTCAGAATAACTGTTCTCAATCTACTAGCTTTCTGCCAGAAATGATAAGTTTTTGTCATCAGGGAGATTCCTATCCCCAGCCTGAAGTGATATAGCTAAGGAAGCTTTTTATGAGCACATAGATTGAAATGTAGACTATTGCTTAAAAGTGAATCATCTTGAGTTCATGCTCCATGGCTGCAACTATATTTTGCATTCAAACATCAAAGCCAGCTCAACCAGAATACTAAGAATAATTCATATTATTTTATATGCAACTGCTAAAAGTCTGAACATATAAACACATAAAAATGTATAACTGAGTAGCTGACATCCATATAAGTTCTCCTCTAATTAATATTACATATGATAATTTTTATTATTGTAGTCCATTAAGCATTATCTTGGATAATCACACTTAAGAGAGCATGCATTTATGTAAGATATTTCCACTGGATCTTCCTATTTGGATTCAACTTGAACTACAGTTCTCTTCCCTGCCTGCTTCCCCCTGTCAGTCACGGCCTTAATATGGGGCAACAAACATTTATAAATTGGGACTCTTCCTTACCTTCCAGCTTCTGTCATTTACCACTTCTTCAACATTTAACTCTGACTGCATTAATTTCAACTAGGATAGAGAGAAAAGAAGAAAGGTTTTAGCATGATAGTTAGTTGGGCTTGACAATGAGCAGACAGAGATCATATCTTTCATATAACAATATATGGATGCTTTTTTAAAAAAACCCAAATTAAAATAAAATATTTAATCAAGTTTCCCCACCATTCAGTAAATAAATCTTCCTATGAAAAACTGGAATTTCACTGCAGGTATTGGGGGGAATTAAACATTAGAAGTGATGAGCATTTACTAGAGATTTAAAAGAGAACAAGCCTAAAGCTAAAATTCATATTGGTAAGGAATTAGAAAATCCCTTCTTTCTTTTCATTCCAGCTGAAAAATTGCAAAAGCAGAGAATATACTTTTGAATGGGTTATTGTAATGCAGTGAAATCTTGATTTACCAAACTTTGATGCAACAGATTTTGTGCCTAGTAAACCAAATTTCTGCTGTGATTTGCAATATTTGCATAATGATGTCATCAAGCAAATGATGCAAATTACATCATTTAAATCAATTTTTTCAGTTGTAATGACACTAATAAAATAATTTGATCACCTGGATGATGATGTTATCACATAGATGATGTAAATCCCCATGATGCCATATTCTTTGATTCAACCTACGTCTCTGAATAATGAACCCCCTCCCCACAATCAGTCTGTTAAAAAAATAAAGCTTTACTGTATCATAGTAATTTGAATATGATCTTGGTAACAATGTGAGTCTGATTATATGGACAGAATATGGAACTGAAATATACAAATGTATGTTAAATACTATCATTTCACATTTGCTTTGTAAAGAATTTGCCAATTCTGATGTCTGAAATTACATTCATACGGCAAGTATTTAGACAGCGCAGCCTTCTTTTCTATGCACTGGACCCTTTGCAACTCTTTAGAAAGAAAATGAAGTCTCCAGCTAATGGTTGGAGTTGCGGTGCTCAAGGTAGGTCAGTGGCCTTGCCTTATACTGCTCCCTTCTGGACAAAAATGATTTCACAATTTGTTCTGTTTCAAGAGACCTTTTTCCTTTTGTAGATACTCAGATTCTTTACAATAATATGCCAAAAGTTTGGGAACCAACCAGAGAGCATTTTAATATCATAAAAAAGTTGACAGCAAAGACTGGAGGGACTCCCGGTCTCTAGCAGTTATAGAAGAGTCTGAACCTTTCACCTGTCTTTCTGTATCTAAACAAGCATCTCAACTGAAAGACTCCTTAGAAATTGAGATTGTGTAAAGTGGTTTATATGTTAAATTTCATATTTGCTTCCAATTGTTAAAGAAAGACAACTTTTCTTTCAAGTTGTGTTTGACTTCAGCTGGCAAATATTAATAATTTAATTATCAATTAATATTAACATAACGTGTGTTTGTACAAGTTTTGATAAACGAGAGTTAATTATATAAGTGTTTAACAAGACATAAATATTTATATATGTAATACAACACAAAATTATGTATATATATATTACTAATTTTGTTTAGTATATGAGAAAATTGTATTTTTGCTTCCCCCTTTCTGTACATAAAATTAAAATACAGAAGAGCCTTCCCCATCTTATTGCCTTCCAGAATTGCTAGCACTATTATTTTATATCATATACATACTGTATACATATAACACAATAGCAATACTGGCTGGTAACTCTAAGAGATGTAGACCCAAATTCTGGAGGATGCTGTGTAGGGGAATAGAAATATAGAATAGTGGCTCTGATGTAGAACAAGAAAATATCACCATTGTATGTAGTGGTCTGGCCCTGGAGATTGATTGCAGACATAAACAGACATGGCCTGTAGTTTGATCATGCATTCAGTAGGAACTGGACAATCTCTAAAATTCCTTCTAGTTCCAAGATTCTATGACCTTTTTGTCCCAGAATATATGTTCAATATATCCTTTCTTCTATTTGGTTTTGACTTTAGCGGTAACATACTAAACCATTTTATTGTGATATTTCTGATTTTGCTACTTCTCTTCTTAAACTTAGCTGAATGGTACTTTAATTATAATATGAAAAACTATTTATTGTTTAATGTGATAAAAATGTTTATAGATGAAAAAGTAATGTTAGTATTATCTGAGATTGTTGCCGACTGATTCCCTGGAAATTTATCAGATTATAAACTGGCAACTGATTTGTTATATTGTCAGATCTTATTATTATAATATTGCCATTTTTTCATATTTTGACTAGATTAAAATATGGCCAGATTAAGACATGGTATCAATGAGAGTTAATTGGAAAATTACCTGGTTACTGAGGTCCTGCATAAAGCTTGCTTATGCAGTATCTCAGAAAACTGCACTTGGCCTCTAAATTGTTACCGGTTATAAAAAAAAAGGATTATTTCAATGTCATCTAATGTCATGTAAGGTGAAATAAATATATAATCAGAAACACAACTTATCAGAGTTAAGATCAAATGAAGTTAATTTCATTCAGCTGTAACAGTTTTGCCCCTAAACAAAAGAGTTACTGGGAACAACCATGGTAGCTTCTTTTGTCCATTTCTGTGTGTATGCCTTCAAGTCAGTCTTCACTCCTGTAACTACCTGGACCAGTCCCTGCGGTTTTCTTGGCAACATTTTTGAAAGTGGCTTGCCATTGCCTCTTTCCTAGGGCTGTGAGAGGGTGACTGGCCCAAGTCACCCAGCTGGCTCTGTGCCTAAGGCGGCACTAGAACTCAGGGCCAATTTTTTTCTGAGTAAGACTGTTGTATTATGAAGCTGATCTTGGCTGAGCAGGATCAGGCTTACGTAGCACGTGGCTCCCAGGGCTCAAGGGGAGGCTGGGAAGTTGAACTAACATCCTGGAACATGGCAAAGGCATGCCCGTACTGAGGCTGAGAAACCTGCACAGATCTGTCCATGAAGGCACCAGGAATCAATCACAACCTGAAGGAGATTTTGCCTTATCTAATAACGTGATCTGCAGTAGCCAGTTTGCCAATGCATGATTTCCACTTCTCTTTTTGTTTTCCCCAGTGAAGCATGGCCATAGAAGGATATTAAGCGACAGATACCTTATTAGAGAGAACTGGTCCTTTTCCAGCATTAGAATGATTATAATGTCAAGCCAAAGGCACAATTTTTGTCATTTTAAATGTTCTTCTCTCCTGCACCACTGGAACAGTCAAGTTTTAAATCATGTTTTATATAACAGAAATTAAGGTAACCAAATTCTGCCACTCACCTTTGTCTGCTCTTTCCTGAGTTGTTTTAGTAATGTTATGTCATCCAGAGATTTCTTCCTCTCTTCCTGCAGAAGTTTTACTACATTAGAAGTTTGGGCAATACAGCTTTTGATTATTCTCTCCCTACTTTCATGAGCCTCTGTCAACTAAATAAACAGTGAATACAAACAAACAAAAGCAGATGAGCAAGCAGTCCAAAAATGAGTTAAATGTTAATTAAAATAAAAGCATAAATTGATGAAGTTTTAATAACATTATAACTTTCCATGCACAAGTAATGGACATAGCAGAAGAGCTTCTTATATCGCACCTTTTGTTCATAGCTCACCCAGATACTGTAGCTATCAACTAAGTTGGCAGCAGAAAAATCCTAATTATTTAAAGATACAGTAATTGATAGAAAGTAACCATTTACGGTCACTTTCTTTAAAAAAAGGGATGCGGCAGACTCCTAATGGGGCTCTGTTGAGTTGTCCTTGGGTTGTCTGCACTCAAAAGGTGATGCTCTTGGTTCCTATTGAGAGAGCTGCAAAATCCCTTCATTATAGGGAATAGATGAGTGTTTTTATTTGTGTAGGTCTACTTATTTCTCAACTAATGCAGTGTTTAGCTGCCTTAAAAAGGCAGGCCTTCTGAAATGAAGAGGAAACCTCCATTCTTTCGGACAACAGTGATGAATATATCATTTTTCCTTCTTTTATCTACCAATGGAGATGATGAAACTGTCACAGCTTATCCTATACAACTGAATAAAATACAACGCACGAATTTAAAGGAATTGAAGATTTGATGGTTAATATTCCAAGCATCTGTTGGTAGAATCACAACCAAATTGATAAAATAGAAAGGAATATCTTCCAATGAGATTCCAGGCAAACAGCTTCTGAAAACTGCTATAAGAACTTTATAGCAAGCTTATCAAATCTTACAAACCAACTTATATACTTGAAAGCACAATTATTCAGGACAAAAGAAAAATGTTTGCCATTACTTAAGTTATGAAAAAGGTACAGAAAGCCTTTACTGCTTTAGCATTCCTTTTCTGAATGCATCAAAATTGCTTGTGCCTTTCTTTGCATTTGCTTCAGAATAGAACAGACTGACATGCAATTACAGTATCTTGAGTATGTCCCAGCAGGGCTTTCTTTGCAACTGGAGAATTCGTCTGTGAGTAAAAATACTGGCATTTTTCTGGCTAAATCACAGTAATTTCGAAAAGGAAGTAGCGATTTTGCTTCAAAAATATTTTGAGATGAACAGAAGTTTAGCGCCGTTACATTATTGAATGGGATATGTGCAAACCATATATGTGAAGATTAATTCATTTCCTGTGATGCGGATTTGAAAATGAAAGGGCATTATGAGGAAAGCAAACAAACAAGATGGCGTTTCCATCGTCCCAATTTGCTATGGATCCTTTTCCAGAACCAGGAACTGCGAAGTGGTAAGTATAAACAGCTTATATTGCATTCTACTAAAGTAAGCTTGCATCAGCATGTTTATGGCAAAGCTTTGGTAATCTGGAGAATCAGCTGGTAGAATGTTGGCTACTGATTAAAACAGCAACATGGTTGGATTACAATAATGCATATAAAGTGCCTGAAGATATAAATGTAAAAAATTAAAAATTTCAGCTCAGTCTTAACAAAATAAAATCAGGCAGAAAAAAGTAAGCATATAATTGATCATATATGGAGAAATGTCAAGACCAGATAATATAAAGAGAAGGATATAAGGGAAATATGGATATTTTGATTCTTACAATTTTAATTTTTTAGTAGAATGTAATTGATTCTTGTACTGTGACAGCTTCTCTTAATGAGGCTTGTCTTAGTATACAGTACTTCTTAAAGAAAGCAAACACAATACCCGCTCTCCTGATTAGAAGGATGGGTGCGGCCCTCTTAGTTGCTGCCCAATCCAGGGAAAAGAGGGGCAGCTTTAAAGGGTTGCAGAAAGGTGCGAGGTCTGCACCCCCAGACACTGCAAAGCACCTTTTTGGGACTAAATCAGAATCTACTGATTGTAGGTCTATTTATTAGTAAATGCAGGTGTTAAAATACAATATATTATTTCTGTAATTCATATACAGCTGTAATCTGCATGGGCTCCTGGTCTACAACAATAAAACAAAACAATAATAATACAATACAGTAACCTCCTCATTCCCTCAAATGCTCTCTGGAAAAGCTACTTTTACTAGCTTCCAGAAGGCCATTAGGATAAGCACTGATTTAACCTTAGGAGCTATTCTATAACATTGGGTCTGCAACAGAAAAACACTGTTTGTGAGTCTGTGTCCCTTTGATGTTTTAGTAATGGGGAACCATTAACAGATTTTGCTGGGGAGCATGCCCCATAATACAACAAGGATGCTGATTCCCCTTGGAGGGGGTGGTCCTAAAGATACTTAGGAGCCAAGCCATCTAGGGCTTTAACCAGCACTTTGAATTGTACTCAGAACCTGTAATGGTGTGGGAATGACCTTGGGAGATGAGGGGAAGAGGTGCTGCCTAAGAAACAATCAGGTAAGAGGGGGTGTAGCCCACAGCTGCATAAAGGAGGGAGAAAGAGGCTCAGAAGGGACCCTCCCTAACTTCTCAGGCTATAAAGGAGACAGCAGGAGATTTGTATTTTCAGACTTGCAAGATTCTGTTAACGTAGCCTTACAATAAAGTAGAAATAGCTCATCTGGTCGGGATTCCTGTCTGGTCTACCTGAGAAGGCTGACAGAACCGGATGGGCAACTAATGCAGGGCCCACAGCACAGGTGTTATATGGTTGTGATGACTGCGAGCTGCTACATTTTGCACCAACTGCAGCTTCCAGGTAGCCTTCAAAGCAGCCCTTTATATCACATTGTGGAGTGATATGTGCCTGAATCGCTGTTGTCAGGCCTCTCTGGTCACAGCCTCCACCTGCCTATCTAGCTCTAGCCAGGCATCCGGGAGAAACCCCAGTCACAAATCTGCTCCTTCAAGGAAGTGGAGCACCCCATCCAGAGCCATAACTGGAGCTGGCAGAGAATCTTCCAAACAAACATCAACTCCATCTTGTTTGGGTTCAGCTTCAGTCCATTTTGTCCCATCCAAACCCTAACAGCTGCGAGATACCAGATGAATATTTCCTCAGGCCTGACCCAGGGTAGAGATGTAAAGTTATGTAAGAACAGCAGATTGGTGTTACCCCAGTTATCTCAGGTTGTTGCTGACTGACTCCAGAACGTTTTAGGAAGCTTGATATATCCAGGCTTGTTTGTCACAGATAAGGGGCCGGCAATCTCTCAGCCCAATCTACCGCAATAGGATTGTTGTTGTGGGGAAAAGTGACTTATTTATCTCCTTAGGTTCCTGAAGGCAGGACATGAACAAATAAGAGCAGGTTGTGGATAAAACCTACTCACAATGACTATTTTGCAGACATTTTTAATGTCACAAATATTTTATTTATTATTAGGGTTAAACCTTGGCTTTTACCCAAGAGCTCAAAGTGGCATACGTAGCACTGTTGTTGATTTTTACTTGTTAATTTTTATTGTGGTTGGACCATTCCCTGGTGGGGAGCCCACAATAAATAAATAAATAAAGTAAGTAAGTAAGTAAGTAAGTTTGCTTTGTGTATCCTTACAATGAAATAATTTTCTTCAGGAATTTTTAAAATGAATCACAAGTCTTTACTGCTTTCCAAGTAGACATATGAGGACTAATGGGATTTTGGTTAAGCCTGTTCTGTTGCAGAGAAGTATATGACAGGGATGCGCTCCCTCTGCTTTATTGCCTGATATGGGCCTGAAACCCTGTAGCACGTGCAGTAAGGAAAACTAGCCAGTATAGACTAAATCCACTGCATGTACTGATAAACCTGAGGCTTATGCACCAAAATTAATACAATGAATTGGTGGTTTTAAAGCCCTTTCTCTAATATTGATCGATCTAAATCTGAGTTGAGGCCTATGGGAGCTACAAAACTGTCAAACCCAGTTTTGTACGGACAGGTTCCATAGTGTACAAACGTAATAACCTATTTGGGGGTAAGAATAAATAAATATAAATAGACATAGTTCTATTTGCTATTTGGAGCGCATATGCCAATTTATATGAAAACCAGTGTGGCGTAGTGGTTAAAGTGCAGAACTAGGTTTGGGCAGCCCAGGTTCTAGTTCTGCCTTAGGGATGGGAGCCATCTGGGTGACTTTGGGCCAGTCCTCCTCTCTCGGCCCTAGGTTGGGAAGTCAAAAAATATTGATCTATCAAACCACACTGGACCAATGTGGTAGATTACAGTCCACAACCTACAATGAAGGGGCCTCCAGCCTGCAATGGACTGATTTGGGCTGATAATGACAGTAATAATAATAATGTATATATTTAATTCTCTATTTTCTTATTGTTAAATAAACTTAACATTAGTAAATCAACTGTTTAACACAAGAGTGCATTTATAAGATCTGTTTTCTGATAAGACAGAAAAGAAAAGAAAAGAAAAAAAAAGAAGTGAAGTACATTATCCCCCCCCCCTTTTTTTTGGATATAAGTATACTTAAATAATTAAAAGCAGGATACTATTTAAATCAGAAGAGTTGAAAAAGACACACACAAGCAGGAGGGAGAGTTTGGAAGGAGCCGCATTCACACAAATTCATGATACTGTGAGGAGAAAGAAGTACAATTATTTCTGCCTCCCTTTTGAGTTAAGTACCTCTTATTGCATGACACAAGCAGCAAAATTGGTGGCGAGAACAATGAAGGAATATGATATGCTTATGGTTAGAAGGGCCAGCAGCTGTGAGCTGCAAGAAGCCGCTAGATGGCCGCAAAGAACTCTAGAAAGCTCTCAGTCTTTGTGGCCATCTAGATGTTGGCATTCCCAGATCTAGTAGCACTGTTATATGCCACTAATTACCAACACCTGGCCAAAACAAAATCAGGTTTGAAAGAGAAAAGCTAAATGAAGAGGAAGAACAAATATATTTACCGAATGATGAAGTTCTTCACAAGTTTGCCTAGCATCAACTTTTCCTGCGAAAGAAGCTGTTGGAACTGTAGTATTTAATTCATGGACTATTCTGTCATCAATTGTTCTCATCACCCTGAGCAATTCCTGAGGGGGGGGCAGGGGAGGAAAAACTTAGACTTAATCTTGCAAAATTTGAATTAAAGGAAATAAACAGTATGTTAGCAACCAGGTCAAGTAATATATTTTTGAACCATGTATTTAAAATTACTGCAGACTTGCAGAGGTCTTTACATGTTGGTTGTGCCAGACTAGTATAATAGAGTTCTACCAACCAACCCCTTGCCCAGGACAGGAATCCCCAGATCATCTCAGTCAAATGACTGTCCAACTTTTGCCTGAAAATCTCCAGTGATGCTTTTTATTGGAAAGATCCGTGGACCTCTTCTATGAAAGAATAGCAAATCAAGTTGTGGGAGTATGCCTTGATGCATAGAATAACTTTGTATCTTAAAAGTATATTTGACCTGGAATTCAACAAACTGGAATGCATTTCTAGACTACAAGTTAATTCATGGATTTGTACCATATCCAAAATTTGGTTTCTGTATATATAGAGTTTATATTTCAATTTTATAGGATACCTAAATCAGAACAGATTCTCAGTAGCATGGATTAAATTTATTATAGCCTATAATTCTACTTGGTGATTTATACTCTGTTGACCATGGCTTTTGATATTCATTCTTAGCTTAAAGCTTAATAGTGATTTTTAGTCTTTTAAAGCAATATAATATATTCAGCTACTTATAACTAATGAATGATATTCTGGAAAACTATAACCTCCATGACATTTTAAAATCTGTAAACTTTAAATGTAAAGCTTCTACCCAGTTGGTTCTTGTTCCACCCTGGGGCACCACAATCCAAGAACGAAGCTGAGGAATTCGAAAAAGTCTATCGAAAAGTGACAAAGTTGGGGAGGGGCTTAGGGCTAAATTCTATGAAGAATGGTTAAAGGAACTGAGTATATTTAGCTTAAAGGAGAAGACATTTAGCTTAGAGGAGACACAATAGCAGTCTTCCAACTGAGGGGCTGCCTCCTAGAGTCACAGGAGTCCATCACCAGAGGTGTTCAAGCAAAGGTTGGACAGGCATTTGGCTGGGAGGGTCTGAGGATTCTTGCCCTGGGCAGGGGATTGGACTAGAAGACCTCCAAGGTCCCTTCCAACCCTATGATTCTGTTACTGTATTCACAAAGCACATTTCTCAGGGTTAAGCTAACCATGGTTTACTCATCCAGTTTTATAAGTTTGTATAATGCACTGAACCATGAAGTAATCACATTGGCTATTCACCTAACACATTAGACTAAATTTATTGGCTAACTTGTGGTTCAAGATGTTGTGTGGACATACTTTATCACAAGTGAATCTCATTGAACATGGACATACTATGGAGAAACCGAGGTGAATGTCATCAGCATACTCATGACACCCAGTCTGCAGCCATCTATGTCCTCTTGCTTGTTGATCTCTTCTACTACTACCTTACCCTGATGGTCTTCTTTTTTCATTTAGATGCCTCCTTGCCCTACCTCTCCATTTCAGGGACATCTCATTCTCCATATGTGCTTTAATACTGACACCAGTAAAAAGGGAGGGAAATAAGTTAAAATCCATGAACAACCACTTATGTTGCCAATCCAACCAAACATATGAGGCAGAAATTCAATGTCAGCTACTATCTTCCTAACTCAGCTTTCACCAAAGCAGGACTGAATTCCCCACCCTCATGGAACACTACCCTGACAGTGTCACAATTCACTTCAAAGCCCTCTGAAATAACTTGGTTTAACTAGCTTTTGGAAATCTATTATCAATTTCACTTCTGGGAGATGCTGTTCAGGAACATCAGGACTATCCCAGAGAAATGATTTCTTCAAGACTTGGCCTTCCTCCCTAGCAGCAGTTTCTCCCAGGGGAAACAGGCAGGATGAATCTGGTTGAAGTGAGTCTAGATAATCTGCTTTCTCCAGGGTACTTTGAGAATGAATCAGCACCACCTATTTGACAGCCTTCCCTAAAAAGGGAAGGTTGGAGAATGGGTGATAGTTATCAAACACAGTTGAATCCAGGGATGGTCTCTTAAGGAAGGGCACATTACAGCCTCTTTCAAGACTGCAGACATAGCTCCCTCTCAAAGTGAGGCACTGACAACCTCCTGATCTGCTTGTCATGTCCCCACCTGCCCCCCAAAGAAGCTAGAAGAGGCAATGGGTGAAGCCCAAAAGTGACAGGGGCCATGCTAGAAAACATGAACCCATTCACTTCCTTGGAGTCCATTGGCCAAAGGAGTCCTAGATAACTGCCTTGGTCATTACCATGGTCTCTGCTCATATGGCATGAAGACACCAGCAAATTTATTTATTTATGTATTCTGAACAACTTTTTCAGCAAAGTGTTACACAGTGGCCAGGAAGGCATTTACTCATTCTTGCCTCTCTAGAAGGGAGTTTGCCACCCTAACGATCACTGGCTGATAGCCTGCTGATGAAATAAGGGAGAAGTAATCCTGCTTTGCCTCTCTTATCACCATAGTGTGGGCTCAAAGATCACTACAAGTGATCTGACTATGGCAAGAGGCTAGATGTAATATCTTCCATATCCGTATCAGACCCCTGAAACAAAGATATGGGTCAGAGTGTGTCCACCTCCATGTGTTAGATCAAATATTACTTGAGACAAGTCCATGGTTGCTGTGGAGGTTATGAACTTCATGGTTGTTCCCAGCCTGCTGCCAGGGCATGTAGATGTAAATTGCCCAACCCCCTAAAGTGACAGAACTCCAACTCAAGCCAAGATACAAGGTCAAGGAGCCTGGAGAGGGATCCAACTAGACAGCAGGAACACCAGGAGGACACACAGCTTGTCTTTATAACACAGTGTAACATGTAGACATCAACACCCCATTACCACAGGAGCAGGGTCTCTGGTTACAAATAAGGTGTTACACAAATTCAGTGCTACCCCTCTTGGGTTCAAGGATGTTGCTTTTTTCTGGATGTTATTTATGTGGCTTTGTCCATGTGATTATGTTCCTTTTTAAAAAAATTATGTACTCTTTTAAAAATTGTAAGCTGATCACTCTTTTTGGATTCGGAAATTCAAGAAATAAATAAGTAAAAATCTAGAAGGGAATTTCTCCAAAAGGGCGATAACACCTCATTCAGCCAATTTTGGTAATGCAAATCAGGAAAAGATGGAACAAGGAAAAACAATAATAACCACCACACACCTACACAAATATTAGTACCCTTGAAGGGACATATTTCTTTGTTGCTGCCGCCACTGCCACTAAGGTGCTATCACCCATGTTGGGCTGTCCCTTGCTCTGCTTATGGAAACGATCAAAGGCTAGATGGCCTCGAACAACTCACAACTGGTTCTGGGAGCAATTTTGTATTTGTAACTAATGCAATATTTTGCCATTAACTGTGAACCCATCTTGGCTTAACTGTTATTGTTCTGTTATGCTCAATGTAATTAACTTTTAGACCACAAAATAACAAAGTAATACAACCCAGTCATTCTGGTTTCAAGAGCCATAATTCCCATCTTTGCCCTGACTAGCACTTTCATCCCATTATACTCTACAGGTAATCCTGCTTTAGCAATCATTTGCAGTTACGATGTTGATGAAAAAGTAACTTTGTGACCAATCCTCACATTTATGACCTTTGCAGGTCTGTAAAGCAAAGGAAAGCTGAAGTAAGATCAAAAGCACAGTTGTGGTTTCACTTAGCGACCACTTCCCTTAACAATTGAGTTGGTGAACCCAATTGTGGTAGCTAAATGAGGACTACCTGTATTTAGTTCTAAGGGCAGTCATTCCATAGTCCTTTCATCTAAAGGGACCAACATTCCAGGTCTTGTCCTAACATTCCTGGCCTATTCTGCTACTCCAAGGCAACTGCAGTTACCAGCAAAGTGGAGTGGAGGCAACGGCACACCAGCAATGACATGTCCATCCCCAATGATGATGATGTTGCTCTGTGCTGAAGCAGTGTGGGACAGCTGTGGAGACGCCTTTGTACTAAGGAAAGGGATGTCTGCTCCCAGGATAGGTTGCACTCCCCATGCAGTTATTCTACCTCAAGAAGCCACCATTCCAGCTGCAGCCCAAACTTTTCATTCTGGGACAGCTGTTCTAACCCTAACCCTAACCTGTGTTCAAGAGTTACAGTCTGAGTTCTGCCTCCCCTGGGCAGGTCCTCCAATATTCCATGCCTATATCAACAAGCTGCAGCTCCAACCATGGAAGCCCAGCCGTTGTGTTTCTTTTGTAAATATTTTTCATTTTTTCTCCCTTTCAACATGGTTAAAATAATAGAATGAAAAGAGCAAGATTACATTTTCTATGCCTTTGCACTATTTTACAACCATATCGAAGCAAGTAAAAGAATGATCACAGAAATGAATAAAGCAGAAAAAGGAATGTGCATATGAACTCCTTTTCCCCCTTTGGTCTATTCTATTTCGATTCAGAAGTTTTCTACGCTTTATTTTGTCGCTCACTGTACCTTGCTCGGTCAGGTCTCTCAGCTCCTACCTCCCTCAGATGGCTCCCATTCTCTGCCATTTGCTCCTTTCCTTCTTGCGGGACAAAGGAAGACTGGCTGACATTCACCTTTCTAATACTGATCCCCAAGGTCGCCCAGGGAGGCGAGCCATTCACCCTCTCATCTCCTCCCCCCTGCAGCGCAAGCTAGTAATGCCGATCGACTTCCGAGGAAACTACTGTACAAGAAAGCGTTTCTAAACCCTGAATAAAGTACACTCAGGCACACATCCCTCCACACACGTGCACGGCTCTCGGGGGTGCCGGGCAAAGGAAACCTTCTGCCGTCGATACGGCTTCCAGGAGTCCGTGCTTGCTCTCCTTCAGGCGGTCCAGATCCAGCCCCACACGGAGCCTCCTGCCCTCCCCTTCGCGGTGGAGAACCGCTCGCCGGCTGCTCCACGTTGCTGCTCCCGCCCGTCCCGCTCCCCCCCAACGGCGCGAGCACAGGTACCCGCCAGGTCCCCGACTGCGAGGAGCGCAGCAGCTCCCGATCGCGGGGAGGATCAGCGCGTCCCCGTCGACCGCGGGCAAGACAACATCCCGGCCGCCTCCCCTCCGGGCGCCGCCAGCCTCGCTCGCGCCTCCGTCCCTGAAACTCCGCGAAGTCCTCGCAATTCAGAGCAGAGCCGGGCGCTGCCATATTGGAAGACCTCAACGGCAGCCAATTAGAAGGCGTGACGGAGGCAGGCCCGCCCCCTCCTGCTCCTGCGCCGCGCCGAGGGCGCGCTTCCGCGGAGTCCCG